GTCGAAGAGGTGGAAAGATTGTCTTCATAGACCGTTGCTCACTCTGTACCTTTGTCAAAGATTCCACCTTCAGGCTGTCCTATCCTGCCTAACCTTTCAATCGCCGGGCCTTGGTTGGAACATGGCCAGCCCGGGTATTCATGTCAGTTGAATGGGTACAGATGTGTCTATACATGAGAAGGTCACTGCAATCACATCATTGAACAATACGTGTATGAATATTGGCTCTTTGAATATAGGATAAGCGCTCTCGACAGAAGTTGGAGGAATATTACTGGATTACTGGAATATAAGAACTGAAAATGAGAGAAGCCCGGCAGCCTATGACTTGTCGAACCGAGGCACATCGCAGCACCAAGTGGCTAGTTTGTTCATAGAGCATCCCGGTTAATTCATACATATTCGCTCTTCTTCTCCAGCTTGTGGGGAATCATAGACCACTGCGCAGCCGCTTTCTTCCGCTTCCTTTCACCCCAGACTCTGCCTCTGCCCTATCATGCGCACGTTTCTCCTTGTGGTCTAACACAAGGCTGAGCACGTCATAGCAGAATTGAGGCACATCAATGCATAAATTCTTGAATTCCTCCTCAGCCTCGTGACGTAAAACATGGCTTCGCAAGGCCCAAAAGGTGGCCACAGGTTTGCGAATAGTGACATCATCAGCAGGTGTGTTTGTGTATACATAACGCGCATACGCAATTTCTCCTTGGGATGTGCTGTTTATACGATGGATCTTTGAATGTGCGAGAGCTTTCAGTGAAGGGATGCCTAATGTTTCCGCCAAGGTATACACCCGTGCGTGTTTCAGTAACTGTTCTCCGCTGTCGTCAATCTCCCCGACTACCGTCTCTTGCTGGGTGTGAGTTTCAGTGTGAGAGGTGCAATAGTCACGCGTGTACTGGAACTGTAGAAAATACCCGAAAGCTTCCACATTTTCCGCAGGAAGCTCGATGCGCCGCTTGGAGATGTCAGCGGTGAGTGTTACTGCCAGAGAGTAACCAGGGTAAGGGATATGTGCTTACAGGACCAGATTCACCGAAGGCCGCGACCTTCTCCGCGAGAAGCGGAGACTCCAAAAGTAGACTTTGGTGAGCTGTCAAGATGGTCCTAGACTGTCCGGTCCCAAGAACGAGTTCCACAATAGGTGACGTTAAGAAACTGAATAATGTTGTAAGCACTTAAGGCCTTTTAGCAGTTGCGAACACGAGCAGTTGCGCCATCGAGTGACAACCCGAAGGCCGAGGCAAAAGAAAGCAAAAGACGAAGAAAGATGAGTTCTTACTCAAGAAATTGGAGGCCGGGGTTTCTTCTGGGTTCTAGTGGTTTTTGTTCGAGCTCAGGAGCGGGGCGTGCATCGCGCATCTCAATATCTGGTGTTATGCCTGTTTGCGATTCATTGACCGCCTTGGAAGCTGTCTTAATTTCAGGATCTGGGGTTGCCGTGCTCTCAACATTTTGAGACTGGGTGTTTCGAGGAGTATGAGTTTCCTCTGGCACTCCAACTTGCACCTGAGGAGTATCCATTATCCAAGATGGATCTACACGACCAAAGCAGTAATTGAAGTGATAGGGAGCTGCGCGAGGATCAAGAAGTTCTTGAATGAAGTGGTAAAGGTGTCAAAGAACCCAATTATGGATGCAGGAGATGAATTCCTAGACCAGCACAGGTCTGCAACGCGTTAGTGGTTAGCTGCTGTAATATCCTGGACGTGTCAGTTTAACCGGAAACGGACGATAAGTTATGGGGCAAGTGCAGTACCCGAGGCAGAAGTTTCAGCATACAATACATCCTTACAGTACAATACTCAATGATCGGCTAGTAAAATCTAACTGACAGAACAGACTTCATAGATAGACCTTATAGTGTTTCCGGCCACAACCGGCCCTTGCCGATGTCCACTTGGTAACCTACCACGTCAAGGCCGAATTGCTGCCTTTCTCGAGTACAGTACATCTTAAGCCGCTTATTTGCGGCGCAGTTCATGTTAGGGTATTTTTGGTATCTACTACCTCCATCGACCCAGTATTAGTAGTTACCAACCAGTCGCTTGCCGTCACTGCCACAGCAATACTACTTGGAGGGACGCAGGCATATTTTCCTTAGTGCCGTTCATTTATTCTTGTTATGCACGGCGTTTCTCTGGCCCTACTCTGGCGAACAAGCTTTTCGCGGGGAACAATTCGCACGTCTCCATCTACTCTCAATTTCAGACCCCTCATTCGCATATCCTGGAGTGTCCAAATCTCTCGAGCTTCCACACGTCGTAGCATGGCGACTATCGTCAATGTCCCGAGGGATCCCAATACCCTCAGCAATTACCACAATTGGCGGTGCAACCACATTACTGCCAATTTTGATATTTTGTTTCATGAAAAAAAGCTTGTGGGCATCGTCACTCAGACGTTCCAGTCAGCCACCGATGGTGAGTCGCAAGAGATCGTCTTGGACTCAAACCATGTGAACATCGGTAGCATCACCCTGGATGGCAGGCCTTTGGCTTGGGAGCTTCTTCCGCCCTCCGACCCATACGGCAGGGCGTTGAAGATCAAACTCGACCGGAGTGTGAAGAAGAATGAGACGATTGACATCGAGGTATGTGCCCCACCGGAGAGTAACCCCAGCCTTAGCCTAACATACAGAACTTGTGCGTAGATTGCTCTTCAAACCACTGAGAAATGCACTGCCCTTCAGTGGCTGACACCGGCGCAAACCTCTAATAAAAGGCATCCGTATATGTGTGGGTTGCTTTCTTCCCGTCCTAACAACGAGAAACCCTGAGTGTCATTTCGTCTACTAACCACGCATGCTTGACCTTCCGACAGTCTCTCAATGTCAGGCGATTCATGCCCGGTCTATTTTTCCATGTCAAGATACACCTGACGTCAAGTCCACCATTGATTTCAACATCTCGTCACCATTGCCCGTGATTGCGAGTGGGCTGCCAGTCCGTGACTCATTGGGGACGCCACTACCGAACGACAGGTCACTGTATCGCTTTCATCAGCGAGTGCCCATTCCGAGCTATCTTTTCGCTCTGGCCAGTGGGTAAGCGTGCCTGATAGACCTCAGTGTGAACTAGCTTTGATAAGTGGATCACTAAACTGACCATCTGCAGTGATATTTCCGAGGCAGGAATTGGACCCCGAAGTATTGTTGCTAGTAGCCCCGACAAGCTCGGCGAATGCCAATGGGAGCTTGAGGCCGATACGGAGAAGTTCATCGAAGCAATCGAGGTGTGTAAGCAGTCAGATTTCAGGTGCTATTGCTTTATAACACTGGCATAGGGAATTGTCTACCCATACGCTTGGGGGAAGTACAATGTCTTGATCCTCCCACCCAGCTTTCCCTATGGAGGAATGGAGAACCCGGTATTCACTTTCGCCACACCCAGTATTATTTCCAAGGTACATCGTTGTCGATGGATTCCAATCCGATTAATTGCCCATGGGTGCTAATCTTGACCAGGACAGGGAGAACATCGATGTCATTGCCCATGAACTTGCGCACAGCTGGAGTGGTAACCTTGTGACTAATGCTTCGTGGGAGCATTTCTGGCTCAACGAGGGTTGGACCACCTACTTGGAAAGGCGGGTAAGTCGAATCGTTTCCACTTATTTTATCTACCATTAGTCGACAAAGTGTATAACCTGCCTTTTCAAATATTGATATAGATCCTCGCTGTGGTGTAAGTGCTAGATCCTTGTGTACTTTTCACACCGGTGCTAACTATTTTAAAGTCATGGCGAGTCGTATCGACACTTCTCCGCTATCATAGGCTGGAAAGCCCTCACAGATTCTGTCGAGCATTTCGGACATGACCATGAATTCACAAAACTAGTCACGGATTTGAAAGGCAAAGACCCCGATGATGCATTCTCTAGTATTCCATATGAGAAGGGATTCAACTTTCTTTTCTATCTGGAGAATCTGATTGGAAAGCATAAATTTGACCAGTTCATCCCTCATGTAATTTGCCTGTCGCCCCAGCAAAGATACTATGCACATGTTCTGATTCCTCTCGATACAGTACTTCACAATATTCAAGGAGAAATCCTTGGATTCCTATCAATTCAAATCGACCATACTAGAATTCTTCGAGTCTGACGCGGAAGCTTCTAAGCTCTTGAACGAGCTTGATTGGGACAGATGGTTCTACGCGCCGGGCTTGCCTCCTAAGCCGGATTTTGATACTTCGCTTGTTGACGTTGTTTACAGCCTTTCAAACAAGTGGAAGCTCCTTCCTGGCTCCTCTTTCAAACCACACCCTAGTGATATTGATGGCCTCACAGCCAATCAGATGGTCGTCTTCCTGGAGCAGGTGCTTCTTTTCGAGAGACCACTGACACCGGAGTTGTCGAGGCTCATGGGTGATGTTTATGGACTCGCAAAGAGCGAAAACATAGAAGTCGCCAATCTCTATTTCCAAGTTGGCTTGAAAGCTGGTGACAGCAGTGTTATTGGACCAACAACGAAACTGCTTGGTAGGATTGGTAGGATGAAATTCGTGAGGCCTTTGTACGCAGACTACCCATTCGCAAGTGAAGGATTCAGGCGCTGATTTAATTTACAGGTATAGAAGCTTGCAGAAGGTCAATCGCCCAGTCGCTGTTGACACTTTCGAGCAGAATAAGGCCTTCTATCATCCTATATGCCGCGCCATGGTCGAGAAGGACTTGTTTGGCAAGAAAGATGCCTGATTTTAAATCGTCATCCTGTCATCCTGTCATTATGCTTTGATCACTTATTGCGACCCAGGGGTCGGATAACATCAACGAAACCATTACTTCATACTAAGCGCACATTTAGTGCAACTTTGATTTACATTTAGAGGACCTCTGGACCGTATGTTTGTTAGACCAAAAATTGTTCGCTGGTATCGTCGGACAGAGCGGGACATGGCCAATAATTCAAGTGACCAGACCAACCCAGTGATGACGAAGAATAATTGATTAGAATACATCTACAGTCTGCCAGAAATAGGGGGTTGCTAACAAACCAGTCATTTCCCGTAAACCAGCTTCTTATCTGCCTGAGAGAACGAGAATATACCAGGCCGGCCTCCCTTTTCACGTCCTAACTGAAGTGCCAGATCTGGCTCATTCACGAGAGAGAGATCATGCAGCACCCGTCGCATATATGCGACAACAAGGGCAATCTTGGTCCAATCCATTTCATCGCCGTTAGGAGCGGTGTGACCGGCCTTCCACAAGTTCCTCCAGATAGCAGCGCCGAGTACAGCATCCCCCTTGATTATGCCTTCATCGTAAGCTGCCAATGCACCACGCCACTGGATGAATAGGTCCTTGAGAAATTTATTCCTGATAGCACGACTGGTCAACCCATGAAGTACATCCATGCGATGCTCGGCATTGTGCGAGAAGTGGTCGATCAAGTGTTGTGAGTAAGTTTGAAGGCTTTCATGTGATGGGAGAGCACGTAGTCGGGCAGTCAATAGGTACATGTGCAGGAAAGTGACTTGTGACCATGTGGAAAATGTGGGCAAGAGCCCCAATTCTGGCGAGAATTCATCCGTCAATATGAGATGAGATTGATTTCCACCGAATGTGAAAGTAAACTGACCTTTATACCACCATCCTTCGCCAACCCCAAGATCCTCTCCGGCATCAGTCTTGGGAACCTGTCCTCTTTTATTTAACTGCGGTATAGTGTATTCTGCTTGGGTAGAACAGGCCTCGAAGAGCTTCTGAGTCAGACCATACGCAACGTATGTCTCTGCAGGTGTGCCAGAGCGTGAAGCAATTGCCCGCGCTAGCTGTGATGAAGCTAGAGCACTTTGTGAGTGAAATCCAGACACTGGGTATGCGGTCTGCTCAAGCCGTTGGCTAGCGAAGCGCTTCTTCAGGACCGAGGAATTGTGAGTCACTTTTTGCGTAACACTGCTAGCGCTGCACATAGATCGATAAGAGGCTAGACATGGTCTAGATAGTCTGTTGGGAGAAAGAACCTTACAAGATTCGGTTTAATTGGCTATGATCAGAGCGGTTCAGGGGTATTGTAAAACATACCTTGAATTTTGAATACTGCGCTAGATGTATAAATCTTATTGCACTGGACGGCATTTTGAGGGTCTGCATGCTACTGGTATCCAAGAGGCTAAGCCTGTATCATGCGTAAAAAGTTCGAAGTTTGCTTGAGATAGAGCTCGTTGTCATCGTAGCTTGGCATCTGTGTTTGCATTATTTGCACTACCCTTGCTTTTTAGTAATCACGAACCAATTAGATAGCAGTTTAAATTCACAGAGCATTAGGGTGGGTCAAGTCGATGCAGCCTCCCATGTTCGAGTACGTACTCCGTACAGCAATTTCGAACTCCACGAGTACAACATTTACCGCCAGAAAATAAGTGAACAGAATTTGGCTCACTCCGCTCTCCGCTGGATTATAACTTTATCTGTGGAGTCCTTGTGGATCGCTCATAGTACCTGTCAAGTCCCGCTATAACGAATTAAGAGGCAAATTCTTGAGATATAGCGCTTTCCTACAACAGTCCAATAGATTTTACTATATAAAATTCGCTATATTTTTGTATTACAAAATTCGGACCAAAAAAACAACCTTTTCTATATATAGGATTATATTAAAACAATAAAAATAGTCTGCATAAAAGATTTAAATTGAAAAACAAATAAAAAAAATAAACAGCTATTAATTAGTCAGCAGATATTGTAAAAGTAGAAAGTTACATTATTATTATTTACCTATATATAGTAAGCAGAGGGACTATTAGCTTCTGTAGTATTTCAATCAATTACAGAAGTCTATGCAGAGGGCGGCAGATCAGCTGAAGAGAGCAGGCGGTAAGATTGTAAACTATACAAAACCTCATTGCCTACACATGGAAGGGATACAACAAATTGATGTAGCGGAAATCCCTGTATACATAACAGAATCATACACACGTCACTATTATTTCGTTATAACGGGGCCTGACAGTGTTACACCGCGCTCCAGAACTATGCCCGATGAGTAATGGCACACGTATGTGCCAATTAACCAGATGCAGCTGTAGGTGAGATGGGGGGAGCCACAGGCCAACAATTTGGAGAATCCATTATGTACAGATTGTATAGCCCAACCTGGTCTCATTTATAGAACGTTTATGGAGGTTTGAGAACATGTGTCATTCCCTCGAGTATAAAGGGAAGGAGAAGAGGGTGCGGAGGGATTGAATTGGATCCGAACCCAGGCCTGTCAGTTGGCCACAAGGACAGCCCTTTCTAGACGTGTATCAACAAGGCGGAGGAATCCTGAAAGTCTGTTGGGGTCCCTCATAGCGGCTGGGACATCGTCCCTCGTTAAGGCCAGAGCCTTGAAATACTCATTAACCATATTACAGCATGCAAAGCGACGTAGCAACCTACCTGTCTCACCGTTTCATAATCACATTCTTTGGACTGATGTTCTCGAATTACCTCCCCAGTACCAAACTCAACATAGATCCTTGTATCCTTGAGTCGGAACAGAACATTGTCGAGTCTCAAGAAGAAGCGGGCAAGCAACAGAAGTCTAGCCGGCATAACACGTATTTTACATGAGAACATGGAGATACCGTTGTCAGCTAGTTCGTCCTCATAAAGAACCACATCATCGTAGAACAGAATCGGATCTGGCCGCTTGAGTAGATCAGTTGGTATACGTTTGGTCGTTGCCTCAAACGGTCGACTACCAGGGCCGAGAGTTCCCGCGTAGTCCGTGCTGTAAGACCAGTCGAAGGGTTTGACAATCTCTTTGATACCCTCATGAGTCTTTTCTCTAGAAGAAGTTAGCCTCAGCGATTGCTAAAAACTTTGTGCAAGATTGCTTGGTAGGAAATAATTCATTCGATTACCTGCTTCTTTGCCATTGCTTCGAGTAGGCGACTTGTAGCATGGATTCGCCAGATTTATCAACTAGATCCAAGGCGTCAAATGCATTGAATGCAATTTTCCATGGAGTCCCCTCATGCGCAATTTCAACATAGTTGTCGCCAAAAATCATTTCTGGGGGGGCGATCCCTAAATCCTTTGTCATCTTCTCTATGGGCTCTGCTTTTAATATCGGGAGTGTTTGAGTAGTGACCGTGAAGCCTTGGATTGCTATTGATTTTGGCCTCTGACGAAGCGGCGATATTGAGACTGAATCCGCCTCGCCGGAAGGCCTGCAACTTGGAATGTTCATTCTGTATCAAAGAAGCCTCCAGTTGGTGGTGTATGATTCGTCTGAGCAGCTATTCACTCCCCCAGACTGAAGCAGGTCATACCCCGCGGGTGTCGGAGGGAGAGGCGGACCGACGAGTTGCTGGGGCGACCGAGCATATCCTTGAAACTGATAAACATCCGTGCGACTATGGTTTCACTCAATTCCGACTTGTTTCTCAATACGATTCGGTACCAACTCTCGTCTTATGTGGCTTCAAGACTGTGAGCTTGAGCCAGAACTCCCAGCAATTCAAAGTCTGTGTCGACACTGAGCTGCTAGCTTTTTTAAACCCTCCATCGCGAAAGTCATACCTGCTTCACACTCACAAGCAAATGGCTACCAAGACACTTGAAGCGCGCCTCGAGCGTCTTTCAGTCAAAGAAGAACATGAGAGCGTGCAAAATGGCGGCGCCTATCAAAAGTCCAAGGTAGTCATATTACCTACACCTCATATTTGGTGGACGCTGCTAATGATCTTGACAGAGCACACTGTCAACAGCCATGCCCCCTACGAGTGCCGGACAATATAATGGCTCGGGCCGATCCAATTTACTCAAGCTGGCTCTACAGAACACCAATGAAAATAAAGTGAATGCAATGAACGTCAATTTGTCACCGGTTAAGAGTTCTCAGAGTACGCTATCACACCGTAATCTCGACGAGAATGGGGAGCAACGACACCTGACTCCACTCTACGACCAGCCATCCCCCAAAATGTTACACTTGGGCATGTTTGAGATTGGCAAACCTTTAGGGAAGGGGAAGTTTGGTCGAGTTTATCTCGCCAAGGAGAGAGCCTCCGGCTTCGTATGCGCACTCAAGGTACTGCATAAATCCGAATTGCAGCAGGGTGGAGTGCAGAAGCAAGTCCGACGAGAGATTGAGATACAAAGCAACCTTCGTCATCCGAACGTCTTGAGGCTTTATGGCCACTTTCATGATAGCAAACGGATTTTCCTTATTCTCGAGTTTGCCGGTCGAGGAGAACTGTACAAGCATCTCCGAAAAGAACATCGATTCCCTGAGTGGAAGGCTGCGCAGTACATTGCTCAGATGGCTGCTGCTTTGAAATACCTACACAAAAAGCACGTCATGCACCGAGACATCAAGCCAGAAAATATTCTTGTTGGGATTCATGGTGAAATCAAGATCAGTGACTTTGGGTGGAGTGTTCATGCACCTAACAATCGAAGGCAGACAATGTGCGGGACACTGGATTACCTGCCCCCTGAGATGCTTAAACCCGGATCTCAGGACAATTACTACAATGAGAAGGTTGATCTGTGGAGTCTCGGTGTCTTGACATACGAGTTCCTAGTTGGGGAAGCGCCCTTTGAAGATACACCTGTCATGACGCAGCGAAGAATTGCCAGAGCCGACATGACCGTACCGTCCTTCGTGAGTCCGGAAGCAAAAGATCTAATTAAGAGAGTATGCAGAAGTCCCATATCCTAGCCGAGCCCTTCTAACAACCTTTTAGTTACTTGTACTCGACCCAGAGAGGCGAATTTCTTTGGATGAGATTCAACGCCATCCATGGATTCTCAAGCATTGTGTTAAGGAAACGAAGCGGAGTTCTGGTACATCAAAGGATGTCAAAGCATGACTGTACTGTCCGGGCATTTCAGGGCGTTTCGGAGTTCAGAAGTTCTTACCTTTCTGTACTTTTCCCTTCACATTGCCATGGTCCACGACCATGGAATTGATTACACTGGCGTTTACTGTTAATATGGATGCTGGTCTTCCTGGATTAGCGATGGAGCTTTGATCGATCTTACTGGCACTTGAATTTCAAGTCAAACATACGACAAACACTTCGAGGAAGAGTTTTGGTGGGAGCGGACGTCCGTAACTAGCGATAAATCTCATCAAAGGGGCGAGTATCTCTAAAGCAACTGTCCCAAACTTCATTTACCACCTTCTCGGCGTGGGCTTCATCTTTGCATCCCGGCCGTGCCCGCACCGATAAGATCGCTCTTCGTCGTACACATTCTTGGTGCTGCTGTGTCAGTTTCCACTGACCCCTTCGGAAAAACTCTCGTGCCCATCTGCATTCCCCGCTCAGCGAGCTGGCTCGAATCTACTCACGATTAGTCGTTTTTTATCTACCCGATGGCGCAGGTGGCTTGAGGGTATGGCTCTTTACCTCTGTACAAGCAGCGTGCCTAAGATTATTCGACCAGTCGACTTTGAACCTGAGGTGATCATAGGCATGGACCATCTCATGTGCTAATGTATCTTCTAGGTGGCTCTGGTCCTTCATTTCATTTGCGCAAAGCAGAATACCGTAGTCAGGATCAAATCCCCCTGCCTTTCGACTGGTACATCGGCGACAGTAGATATTATGACTGGAAAGATTACCACCTAGCTGGCGGATGCTGTCGCTCATGAATCGGATCACCGGACCTTTAAATGAATTCAATCAGCGGGCTGTGTACAACATTGAACTTATGTGTCTTCATTGCAGGCTGGCAGGCAGATATGAATGTGACTCACTGAATTGCAATAGATAGTCTCGCTGATCCTCACAGCGCTTGCAGTCCCCAGCTTCATTCCGCGTGTCACGCGCAATGCGGAATTGTTCTTTGCCCTCATCGGTCATTCTATCGGTCAGGATAGCAAAGATATTGCGCCATTGCGTCCAGGTATCGTCACCAGGAATGAAGCCACTGTTGTTAGAGGTTTCATTCTTTGATGAGGTATCATTTGCCCGAGAGTCCGTCATCATGTATGAGCACTGGAGGAGGGATATAACCTAGATATCCTCCTTCTATTCAAAAATCGCTTGTCCTTGTATGCTCTCGACAATTGATTCCGCGGCAAGCTCCGTGGAGTAAATGGGCGGTGGGAGCCGGCAGAAAAAGGGTGTCTTGGTAGGTGGGTTATTGCAGCTGACTCACAGCAACAATCAAAGCCCAAGTTAACAGCCAACTTCCGATGCCCCACAGTAGCACTGTGCAACAATCATGGTTGGGAGCTGATCATTCAATAATTTGAGTCTCAAATCACAATGGCTCTTAAGCGTCTGACCATTGTCATCAAGCTAGGTGCGGATCATGCCATGATTGACCGAAGGCAGAAACTAACAAGAACTTGCTGCGCAGGAACCAGTTCCATAGTAGACGAGAACACCCATGAACCTATATTGTCCATCCTTACGCTCATAGTCGAAACAGTTGCCAAGCTTCACAGAGAAGGTCATAATGTTGTTCTTGTTTCGTCTGGCGCTGTTGGTGTGGGGTTGCGAAGAATGGATGTGGAAGAGAGACCTAAACACTTACCTCGGATACAGGTATACAATACGGAATTGATTTGTGCAGGCGTTAGATTCGCAAGTACTGACCATGGTGTTCTAGGCATTGGCTGCCGTTGGCCAGTGTAGGCTGATGAGTCTTTGGGATGGTCTGTTTGCGCACCTGCGTCTCCCAGTAGCGCAAATCCTGTTAACTAGGAACGATATTGCCGATGTAAGCATCGTTGTGAACTAACGAGAATGTTCATTATCCCTAACAAGATAATAGAGAACACAATACATCAATGCTCAAAATACCTTCTCGCAGCTATTTGATATGGGTGTAATCCCGATTGTCAATGAGAACGACACTTTGGCTGTTTCCGTAGGTTGACCCTTTGTCCCCACCTATTGCGTCGCGGAATGTCATACTGAGTTTACCAGGAAATCAAATTTGGTGACAACGATACACTATCAGCGATCACAGCAGCGATGGTCAAGGCCGATTACCTCTTCCTGATGACGGATGTTGATTGTCTCTATACTGCTAATCCCCGTACAAATCCCGACGCGCGCCCAATTGAAGTTGTCACAGATATTTCAACCTTAGAAGCAGATGTTTCATCGGCTGGATCATCTCTAGGTACCGGTGGTATGGGTACCAAGATCATCGCTGCAAAGCTTGGAACTAGTGCTGGCGTAACGACTATCATCACCAAGAGTTCGAAGCCCGGAAATGTGCATGATATTGTCAATTATCTCCAACAGCAGAGTCGAAGGCCTATTGTACCAGATGCAGTGGCCGAACCAGTCGAGAGCTTTGAGGTATCAAGCAGCTCTCGGGCTTCGCCTCCGCTACACACGCGATTCATTCCATCAGAGAATCCAATACAATCCCGATCATTTTGGCTTCTTCACGGAATGAAGCCCAGGGGTACAGTCTATATAGACCACGGTGCATATAGTGCTATTCAGAAAAAGGCCAGCCTGCTCCCTGCCGGTGTAATTGGGGTGGAAGGTCACTTCTCCCAACAAGAAGTGGTAAGGTTAGTCGTGATTGGGAAAGTTTCTCCCGACTCTCTCGATGGTGATTTCCTTCATCATGGACAAGAGCCCAAGGAAGTTGGACGTGCCTTGGTCAATTATGGCAGTATCGAGATTGAGCGCGTTAAGGGCCACAGGAGCACACAAATCCATACGCTACTTGGGTATGCCGATAGTGAATATGTGGCGCTCCGTGAGAATATCGCCTTTCTGCAAACCGATGACAGCTCAGGTCGATAGATCCCACCAGAGTCTCAAGCTAGGTGCTGATACTGAGTTTGTTGATCACATTTTTCGAACACTTAAAAGACCTATTCGGTAGGCTTCTAGCCTTTCCTCCCCCTCTCCCATTCTAAGTCTGAAGCAATACAGCTGCGCCGAAAGGCTCATTTAGACTGAAGATTATGATGCTACCATTCCTGGCTAAGATTATCTAGTTTTCATTAATTGACAGTAGCTTATGATGGGATCTCGTAAGGATATATATCATGATCAAGTAGGTCTTTCTTGATTCTAAATCCATTACAGTGATCGAACGACCATCCATCATTATGATAACATGGGTAATATCCGGTCAATTTTAGGAGCTTTGAAAACTGGTAGCCCGGGAGAGTGCACAAGACGTGCTCAGTAATGATCCGCCTAGCGGTTGAGAGACATGAGCAGTATGATAGGGATATCAACGTTTATTGAGATGGTGGTGAACGTTGTTACGAGTCCCCAAACCTAATCTTTCCATCTTTCTAAGAATCGCCTCATTTGTGCGTCGTGCAAATGTGGTGCGGGAGAGGCCTGTACAGGATCCCGTTAGCTCAATCTTCGAGGTCACATCACAGTTGAGAGGACATCTGCCAGGGCAAGCAACAACTCAAACATACAGTATTCTCGATACTGGCCACGGAGTATGTCACAGAGGCGGAGAGGGTGACCTGAACGGTTGCTGGGGGGAGATAGGTTGTGGCGATGGTATATGCGCTTGCTGGAAACTGGGGAGTCGGCACTTTGGCTGGAATTGTGCTTGCAGGCTTCTTGGCCATTGGCGCATATCTGGTAGGCCCGGTCTGCAACTGATATGGGACTGTAAAAGCCTCTTCTACTTGTCTCTTTCGTAGTTCATGATGTCTGGACATTTCACAATCCGAAAGTGCAGAGTTGTTAATTGTGGGAGGCAAGCTGTGCAAGACGGATGTTGAGACAGGACTGGTCATATTAGTGATAGTGAACTGTCCAGAAACATTAATGACGGAGGCACCCGCGCCCCAAGAGACCGTTTTTAAAAAGCTGTCAGTGATTCCAGAGTTAGCGATGGGCTGCTCATTATGACTTGATGGTATGGTGTGGCACAGCAGATGCACACTGCCATATTCCCCTTACTATGTATTTGCACCATTGTCCCTTATGCTGCGGTCGAGCGTGAAGGATAGTGAGTTACCCCTCGCAAAGAGGTTACCTCTCGAAAGCAGAGCTACATCTTCCTGCAGCATCCGCAATGGTCAGTAGGCTTCCGATAGATACATAAACTATATGTAGGGACAGGAGCCCCACATAAGTGCCCGCTACCTGCCCGCCGGCGCAGAGATAGAGATCATAGTATAGGAGGTCAGAGATCAGGGGATGCCTGCCTGATTCCCTCCACTGGGCCGTAAGAACGTCCCCGATTCGTAGGATGGCACCGGGTTGTGGAATCATAAACTCCACATCCGCGAGTGCTTGTGGAAACAACGCAGCGAGAAGGAACAATATTAGGTGCCTGATCATCATATTGTGAGAAAAGAGAGAGAGAGAGAGATTGGAAACAAACACAAGAAGAGATTTTTCTCAGTTTCTCAGAGGCAGATGATGCTGCGAGTTCACTTGTGGCATTTACTTGCAAGACAGAGAGATTAAACAAACAGAATAAACTGATGAGCTGAGAAATCAACGCCCTTGTGTTGCCCCTGCAATCGACGGCATGCTGGCCCTCTCCATAGCATTTGCACCTGGCTGGCAGCAAGGGACGCGGCCCCGAAAGGAAACAGTGCACGTAGCGGGATCATGGCCGTCAGGTATTAACATCCTATTAGTACTCTGCATGATTAGACTTCATATACTAACCCCATTCCTTATGAACTTTTCAATGAAGGTGGTATAATAATACCTCTTAGATACTGATAGGTAACTGCCTGGTCGTCACTCCTTCCCCAGGAAAACCACTAAGCTTACCTCCATCCAGCCTTGATCTTGCTACGTACCTTACTGCTAGGGTAGGTACATTAGAGACTATGGAACGGTGGTTGAAAACTGAGCCTTTCGGTTGAAGGCGGTTTTAGCGTCGGTTGTGAAAGGCCCACTCCAGTCGAGTTAATCTTATCCATCTAGCTACGTATGTTCCAATGGCTCACTCGTACTCTCCGCCCTGCTCCTCCTCTTCCTGCTCTCAACCACTGCACTCCTCCTTTGTCACGGCGCTAATCATCTTATCATCTTGCTGAACGGCCTAGAAAGACCTCTATCTCGCGGGCGCATCCAATCAGAATGCGTTCGCACGGGGACTGGGTTTCATTAGAAGGCATAGCTACTAGCTTGCTCGACGGCAGCCCTATCGCGATTGCTATTACGGTCTTCATCGCGTTCGGACTGCCCGTCCTATTGCATCTTCTCTTTTACCGAACGGTTGCATCTCCGCCGTCTAGCAATTTCTTGCTCTTGGGCCCTAATGGAGCTGGGAAGACCGCTCTCTTGACTCTGGTCTGACTTCCCTTAAAGGCTCTTTCTCTCGCTCTCCCACGTATAGCTGACACACTCCGCATGAGTAACAGCTCGAAGCAAAGTCGTCTCCTGCTCGTACAGATATTCGAGTCACTCATACGTCCCAAACATCTACTGCAGCTACCATCAGCCTTCCCGCCTCGGTGCCGACCGCATCAAATCGCTACAGATCGGTGAATGATACTTCGTTGAAGGATATTGCCAAGAACCCGGTCAAATATCGGTTGATGGACACTCCTGGCCATGGAAAACTCCGTGAATCCCAAGCTATCTCGCAGTTGCTCTCCATGTCGGCCTCAAAGGATGCCAAGTCGAAGTTGCGTGGTGTCTTGTACATGGTGGACACTGCAGTACTTGCCAATCCCGAAACCCTACGGGATACAGCCAATTACTTGTACGATGTGCTCTTGATCCTTCAGAGACGTGCTTTGAGTAGGGGAAAGAAAGCAGCATCTGAAGTTCCTGTGCTTGTGGCTGCCAACAAACAAGACCTCTTCACCGCCCTACCGCCTGGATCCGTGCGGGAGAAATTGGAGGATGAGATTAGTAAACTCCGGAACTCTCGCAGCAAAAATCTTCTGGATGCTAGTGTTGACGCTGGCATTGCCGATGACGAAGACGATATTCTAGGCAGCAGCAACCCCCATGATAGATTCTCGTTCCAGTTTTTGAAAGACGAAGTTGGTATAGTAGTAGACATTGTCGGAGGAGCAGTCATGGGCGATGAAGAGAGCAATCTTGGATCTGGTGTGCGCAAATGGGAGGAATGGATAGGTCAATGCCTGTAAGGTATACGCTCATGGCTGACGGAGTGCGAGGTCTATCATTGCCGGCGAGATCTCGTCAACCCCAGAAGTCACATGAGCCAATGGGCATACTTGCCAATATACTGGGCAAAGAGATGGGAAGAACAGAGCAATGAAGGAACTACCTCAGTGATCATATGTGTATGCTTTGGTGAAGGGATTGTAGACTAACTCGGAGCAAGCATCATCCTTAACACACCTCATATATTGTGTGACTTAAGGATTGGCTCATAGAGTATGGTGGATTTAAACAAGCCTACTTCACGACACAAGGGATACAACACCTCAGTGGCAACAAGGATCTAGGCATATTCTGGTTTTGCTTGGCTAATGGTGGCTAGACTACACCTTAATCAGCAGAGGATCATCTGCGGAAACAAGCTTGCAATCAGGACTGGTGACGGTTAGTTATTCCTGACTCAAACATCATCTCAACGTTGTTGGCCCTGGAACGATGTTCAAAACCCTGGGTTTCTTAGTCAGAAAACATTCAAGATTGACAGTGTTATCATGATCACAAATAAGAGTATCCAGCTGTAGCGTGCAAGCTGCAGTACTTGAGGGCTTTACAGCAACGATTGGTGCCAGGTTATCTAAAACAGGTACTAGCTGTACGATCCGACTACTTTCAAGATTCGATTCAATCCCACTGAGATGGCGGTAGATTTCACTAATAGTCAACTTGCCAGAAAAGATTTGCCGTCACTGAAACAGTCTTCTCATTAAAAAATTGTGCTGAGCGGCCAGATTTCTCTGTGTGTGAGTTGAACCGGCAGTTTATCAATCTAAAATGCCATCGCAACAAAGAGTGCACATTATAGTGCCAGCATTGTAAGGCTCTTTAAGAGCTCTACCAAGTTGCATCCCGTAGAAGAAAATTGCAACAACTGGCAATCGCTGATGTGGTTAATTGTAGTTCTGACTCTGGCGATAATGCCAACCTTATACAACCCAATAGCATGTGAAATCAAATCTAGAAAAGAGAATAAAAACAGTCATGTTCGTTTCTCAACCTGAAACTATCTCCATATACTCCACCATATACTCCACAACACCCCGTTCTTCATTAAGGATATAACAGCGTAGCGGCCGATGGTGCTGGCAGGCCCGGGCTTATTAGCAAAAAGGAGGACGTAGCCCAGACGGAATCGCGCCCAAAACAGACAGTATGCGAGAAGACTGTTTCTATTGAGACTCTGAGGCGCCATCCTCGTTGTGACGAAGCATCCAGCTTAACAGGTCAACTTTCGTGGCAACTGCGACTGGCTTCATCGCTCCGTTCTCGCCTCTCTCGGTGACAACGGCTGCACTGTTCCATTCCAGAAATCGGTTTAACACACTGAGGGGCGTTTCCATGGTGATCTCAACAAATTTCCGATTCTTGATCTGAGATGTCTGTTGGGCGTCCTGGGGCTTCGACATGCCCATATCTCTGGGATCCGTGACGACTTCAGGTATTTTGCTGAAGTCAAACATGACATCCGCCACAGGGCTCTTGCCTGTAGCACGTCCGTGGGTAAGCCGACTCAGAATGTTGCCCAAGGTGAGAAGCCCAACAAGCTTCTTCCCAGAGGCTGCCAAAACAGGAAGTTGATCGAAGCCTCTGTCACGCATCATCTCAATGGCGGTTTCGCATGGAATGTTCGACCGAACCGTGGTAATCGGTTTGAGTCTCAGAGCTTTGACCTTTGAGCCGGAAAATGCATCTTGTTGTCCTTGAGGCTTCAGCGTTGGAGACAAAGATGCTGGGGCAGTGGCGGGAGCTGTCAATAGCCCGTTCGCAGCAAGCCAGTCATCATCCGCAAACTATAATCAATTAGAACAATGGCCACCTTATATAGTTGTATGAGAAACAGTAAAATACCTTGGTAAGGTAGCTTCTGATGCTGTCCGGTAAGACTACAACTACCACATCATCCTTGCCGAATCTCTGGTCTTTGGCGGCCTGAACCAAAGCCGCAATGGCACTACCACTACTTCCGCCAACAAGAAGCCCTTCCTCTGCAATTAGGCGACGAGCGTACTGGAAAGACTCCTTATCAGCAGTTTTGTACCACTTATCAACGAGTTTCTGATCCAGGACTTCGGGAATAAAGTCGTAGCCAATTCCTTCCACTTTGTAGGGCTCATTAATATGCTCCTGATTCAATGTAGCAGGGAGAGCCAAGATCGAACCATGAGGGTCAGCAGCTATGACCTGAACACTGGGATTATGCTTTTTTAAGCCACGAGCTAGACCGGTGATAGTTCCGCCAGTTCCTGCACCGGCAACGATAGCCGTGATCTGTCCTTGCGTCTGGGTCCAGATTTCCTCAGCTGTCCCTAGCTCATGTGCCAACGGATTGTTCACGTTGCCATATTGATCCAATATATGCGCGTTTGGAAGCTCCTTCTCAAGGCGCTTCGCCACACCGATGTGAGATTCGGGAGAGTCGAAAGCAGCTTCGTTGGGTGTACGAATGATGGTGGCATTCAAGGCTCGCAGTACAGCGACCTTTTCAGCAGACATCTTTTCGGGGAGAGTGATGATTGTCTTGTAGCCTTATACAAAACGCAGCAGAAGGGTTAGACATCGGCAACCTGAGACTTGGGGTCAAATGATCCGAGCAAGACGACTCGACTCACCTTTGACAGCGGCGACAAGAGCAAGACCAATGCCACTAAAAAGCAAATGTTAATTCAGCTCATGCTTTCCGGAGAGACAAGCGTAGCGAAGGCCTGAGGTTACGTACGTGTTTCCACTAGTAGGCTCAATTAAAGTATCACCGGGCTTGATGCGCCCCGACCGCTCCGCTTCTTCAATCATGCGCAAGGCAATCCTGTCCTTCACGCTTCCCCCTGCGTTGAAAAATTCCAATTTCGCATACACCGTAGCCTCGATGCCCAAGCTGCGCGGTATTCTATTCAGCCGTACTAGAGGCGTATTACCAATGTGTTGAGTGATGGTCTCGAGGGCCACCGGAGGGACGGCGGGAGCGGTTATAGACGACATAGCTGATGATTGAGGGAGGAAAGCGCCGACTGCGGATAATGCGAGAGGGGAACGGTAAGAGATTATTGAGGGATAAAGATTGAGAAGCAACCGAAGTTATAAAGTAGATGGAATTTTGTACCCTGGGATAAGTGTAAACACACACAAAGACAAAAAGACGGAGAATGCGAAAAGTAGTAAAAACGAGGGGAATGGGAAGGAATAACTACTGAGGCAATGAGAAAATCTGGATAAAAATCTCGTAATCTCTTCCCCCTCCTCCCATCGTCCGACGGTAGCCGTAGCCGTCGGCTGGGCTGGGACAATGCTCTCAGACATTCATTTCCAGCTCAACTTATTATGGAGAAGAGCACTTCAGAACCTGGAGCCTGCGCTCAGCTAATTTCTTCGAGGTCAGCTCAGGCTTATCATGGGTTGTTTTAACACGATGAGTACGGAGTACTCGATGCTCATTACTCCGTACTTAACTACATGTTCTGTACCCCGTACTATGTACGGAGTATATACTGTATTGTTCGGATACGGGATGAGTCTGGGCACCTGCTACAGACTCCCTGCTGCTGTGGCTGTGTTCATCTTGGCGGCGGGCACCGCTGGGTTACAGTACAAGTGTACTGTACCTTGCAAGGTGCCTTTACTCCAACCAAGTTTGAGTATGCTTAAAGGGCCGCTTTAAGGTTAACCTGTTCGGCTGCAATACTTTAGCAATGCTCTCGGGCAAAAAAAAAAGAAAGAAAAAGAAAAAAAAAGGGTCAATGATCACGGCTATTCATGAAACTCTCATCGGCGCCTAACTAACCTGATTAACTTGTGTAGGCACGATTAATTAACTAACATTACAGGGTATTTGAAATTTGGTTCGGCTACTCAGCTGGTGCTGACTGTCTGAGCTCGATTTAGAAGGCTGGACTCCATGCTACAGGAGTGACTTAGTTAACTTATGTTACTACTAGTTATGAAGTAAGTCACTCCGTACTGTACAGTACTATCCAGCCGCGTGGGACCAGGCTAGAACTAGACTTCATACGGAGTACTATGTGCGATCGACCTTTCGCCAGCTGCCAACACATTTGCCAAGATCCTTGACCTGGAGGTCTCAAATCTTCATTTCCTTTATATATATATGCGCGGGCTTCTAGCCCATCATGCCTCAGTCTCGACGATTACCTGCATATCTTCTTTGAGGATTACTTCCCTCTTTGCCTCCTCTTTACCTCCTCTTTACCTCGGCTTCTGATGTCCATGATCATGTCATCTCTTGTTTGTCAGTAATAAGACGTGCGAGCCTAGTTCTTCGACCCCCCACCCTTTTACCATAACCCAGAACAGAAAATTTCAGCAAGCGGTTGGTGAATCTCGATCAAGGGCGTTTGTGTGCACAGCCCTCACGATTTACGCGTTTTACAGCAACATGAGCCAGCGTTTGCAATCCGGGCGACAGGAAGGTCTTCAAGGTGCCCTCGGGGTCTTATCGCCAGATCCTATGCACGTGGCTGACGGGTCGCAAGATAATACAGTGCTTCCCACGCATAATAAACAAGCCCGTAAACGACACCATGGATTGTTTCGCATCGATACTGCGGGAGAAAGCGGCCGAACTGGTATTCACCCCGTTCACTTCCTGCGGGTCTGTTTGCGAAGCACGTGTACCTTGTCCATGCTGGTCAACGTGCTCTGGCCATTTGTCCCAGCTGCTATCGCCATCCATTTTGCACGGCCAGACTTACATGTTTGGGTGTTTGCTCTCAATTATATAGCTATGGTACCCTCCGCTAATCTACTCGGGTTTGCGGGGGGGGAGCTTGCGAAGAAGCTGCCCAAAGTGTTTGGCGTCCTTCTGGAGACAACGCTAAGCTCTGTGGTGGAAATTGTTCTCTTCATGGTTCTGATTCATAACGATAGAAACGGCGACCTCATCCCAGTCATTCAGGCTGCGATTCTGGGTTCCGTGCTGGCAAATCTCTTACTCTGCTTGGGTCTTTGTTTCTTTTTTGGTGGTATTACACGGGAGGAGCAGTCATTTCATGAAGCCGTGAGTGAAGTAGGATCCGGGCTGTTACTGGTAGCAGGCTTCGGTCTGTTGATTCCCAGTGCCTTCTACTCCGCTTTGAGTAGCAGTTCAACACATACACAGATTACACCAGCACAACTAAACCAGTCTACCTTGATCATCAGTCGAGCCACCGCCGTGATCCTCCTGGTCGCGTTCCTGATGTAGGTGGATGCCTGCAATAGCACTTATTTCTGTAGCATCATGCTAACCGGTTCAGGTATCTATTCTACAATCTTCACAGTCACCACAGCATTTTTGACGAAGTCCTCGAGTTCGACGAGCATCAGGATGAGGACAGGGAAAAGGAATTGAAGCGTGCAAAGCTCACTCTAGTCGAATGCTTCATCGCTATTGCGACATCCCTCGCTTGTGTCTGTATGTCAGCAGTCTTCTTGGTAGAAGAAATCGAGCATATTGTCGATAGAGGGGTGTCCGACAATTTCGTTGGCCTTATCCTTGTGCCTTTGGTCGAAAAGGCGGCAGAGCATTTAACTGCAATTGATGAAGCTTGGTAAGTGAATCTTTTGGATGGCCCCCGACCACGTACTGCAGCAGCTTTTCGTTTGCCGGTCTCTGCTGACTATCTGTCCAGGGATAATCAGATCAACTTCGCTCTCTTCCACTGCCTGGGGCCATCTATTCAGACGGCTCTGCTGAATGCGCCTTTGGCAGTGATCGTTGGGTGGGGTCTAGGGAAAGACTTGGGCCTGAACTTCGAGATCTTCATGATTGTTCTGGTAGTGTTGTCTATTCTGGTTGTCGGAAATTTCCTCCGTGACGGTAAATCAAATTACCTTGAAGGGGGTCTGTGTGTTTTGGTATACGTGATTATAGCCGTGAGCACATGGTATTACCCCCAGATTGAGCCGCAAGGTGGGTCAGATGCATGATTGGTGTAGCTATTGAGAGGGCGTTTCGTGTTATGTCCATACTGGAGGTGAAGGTCGATTGCAGCAGAACTTATTCGACATCAACTTTGTGCAAGTAAGTTCCTTTACTAGATGGTATCTCTTGAGGGAAAGTTTATTCCTAGGTGTAATTTTCAGTAACGATTTCGAAATCCGTTCTTGGTTTTCTTTTTTCATCTGGCTTGTACGTAGCCACTTCTTTTACAGCAGGTAGTATGTTGTATGTTGGATGGTGGGGAAGAATGGGAATTTGCTTGGCCACCCTCAAAATGATGTGCCGAGGCCGAGGCTTCCCATTGTTGACCGATGCTTCCTATTTCTAGGCCGTGTGCGGCTGACTTGCAGAGCCAGCGTACCGATGTTCGACCCAGTCAATCCAATGGAGTCAACACCTCTTGTCATCAATGCTTTCAGGGAGCGCAATCTCCCGATCGATCGAAATAAGGTCTTGTCAGTCTTCAGTAATGCGGCAGGCGCTGCAGCTCATGCCAAGTGGGTGACGGAGCATATCACCAGCGAGTTACTATTGTCACAAGAAGAGTTTACATTGTACCCACCACGCCCTGCGTACATGACCAAAATCTACCTTTGATTAACTAACCCCTGCTTCTTCTTGAGCCTGCAGACATTCTGCTCTCGAGAAATCGAATGTCCTGACCAAACTACTCAATAATCGAAGTACGCGCACAACTCGGCCAATTCTCGAAGAAGAACTTCAGCAAGCGATCGATTCACTTAACGCTTCAACGACCGCAATTCTACGGCAGAAGAAGATATTCTCTTCAATATGCGAAACTATGAACAGACAGCTTCATCAGAAGGAAAAAAGAGAGCTCGGGTTCAAGAGGGATGCAGAAAGATTACGTTTGAAGACTCTATCCGGGAGGCAGACTGCTACAGCCGTAGTAAGTCACTTGAGGGGTGAATCGAAATCCGGAGCTACTTGCTTATAGTCTGTTCAGTTTCTTGAAACCTCTCTTGAGCTGGAACTCGACGTCAAATCGGAATTGGAGAAGGTAGCAACAGAAGGGAGAGAATTACTCTCTTCTCTGACTACTCGATTGAAGGACGATGAAAAAACCCTCGCACACCTTGAAAGAGTTGCCCACGGGCTTGAGTATGTTGGGAACGATGTTTCTATTTCCAGACAGGCTACGGATCTGGGTGTACATCATGCTCAGTATGTCGCAGGAGAGATACGGCACCGTCTTGACCGCCTATACTTGGAAACTGTACAGAAGGTCCATGGGGTGATGCAGGACAAGACAACACACGCAGACTCTGATGTATCGGAAGCCCTCGAAGAAGAGCTGGGGTCATTGTACTCTGAGATTGGCATCCTCGCAGAATTGTCTACTAGACAGCAACTTGTCGATCCCATACATCGCGAAATGCAATCGCACCACGGTGCGCTATGTGCATCCTCGAATCAGAAACTGCACCTTGTAGGTCACTCGTCGAAAAATTTGGCGCAATTGCTGATTATCTTTGCAGCTCGGAGGCATTCTTTCGCAGATGGTATTGACAACGAGAGAGTGTACCAAAGGATTACAGGAGCAGGATTCGTTTTGCGGGACACTTGAAGCCTTTACTGCTGCATATAAGACTGAAATAGGCGAGCTGCTTCTGGTCTCATCTGCTCCAAAGCTGAGGACGTTGAAGACCCAAGTCGCACTGGCAGCGTCTCTAAATATTCCTTCAAGAAGCCATCGTGTCCCGCTCTCCGAGGTCCAAGCTCTCGCAGGTCTGATACGCAGAATGGGCTTAACCCTGGACAACCTATCACTCGAAGCAAGAGGTGGGCCCTTGAAATGTTTGCAGGAAAAGAGACGCAATCTCGTAGAGTCTTCAAAAGGCTATGGCTTGGCTGCAGATTCGCCACTGAAAGCGGCTTTGTTTCCTACCGATTCGGCAATCCAATTTCTTCTGCCTCGACTCCAAACCAGTTCGGGTTCCAAGGCGTCACTCCCCAATATTGACCATAAGCTCCTGATTTCTGAACTTGAAGCTGAACTAGAACGTATTCAGGAAAGGGTGAAGAGACTGAAGCCTGATATGCTTTCTGAACGCGATTCATGCCTGCAAAATTTCTTGAAGAGATGGGAAGGACAGGTATCTCATATCTAAGACATGAATATGATGCAAAATTTGATAAAGAACTTCGGTCTTGCACATGTACGAGTCTCAGTTAACTGTCCATGAGCGACTGAAGCTCCAAATTAGTATGACGGCTAGTGTCGCTCTCGTGGCTCTCTTCATAATCCCTGAGCTCGACAATCGATGAGCGAAAGAAAATGGAGACCCATGGATATCAAAATTATTTGCATCGCAGAGGATGTATAATTGTCGCACTACTCGATATCCCCTTTCTGCGGGTCCCGAGCCATCTGGGGTGAACTAAATATAAGATTAGACCATCCGTCCCTACGAGATGTCCGGCGATTGAAGTGGAAGGGGTTGGGTGCACGAAACCGGACGAACTAATGTCCGGTCCATTCTCATATTGAGCAAGTCTGCCAGATTCAGCATTTGTTTATGTTTTGGATGGATTGCCGCGCAAAGAGGACGCTTGATTCATATTTACTCGACTTCGATTTGGCTTTTCAAGCCGTCGTTGACTATTCCAATTACATGCAGGTACCGTGAAATGGCCCTTTCACCATAATCAATCAGAAGTTGACCGAGGCATCGACCGCGCCTGCAGCAGTTAACACATGTTCCTCAACGTTGCAACTGACTGGACGACTCGCCTTTTCCTTGACACAATCCCGTCATACCTCTCTTGCTTCTAAATATAATCTATACTTGGGTCAACAATCATTCAATGTGGTTCGACTAGTATATTTATTCGCTGGACTCAGTCATACCATGCCATCCCTATTAGAGAGGTTAATCTTCGCCTGTAGGTTCAAGGCCGCTCTACATACTACCACGCTTGTTTCTGCCTTTCTCTGCAGCACTTCACAATGAATCATCCAAGAAGTGAATGTGAAGTGGTTCAAATTCTACCTGCTGTTACAACCTTAGCAGAGATCTCCGATCGGTGTGTTCTACACGCTGGCACTGGGCACGACTCGAAGGCTTGGCTTGTAGCCGATGTTTTCCAAATCTCTCCGAGCACTGCGCTGAGGTTATTGTGCTCCAGCATCGAGGTTCTCTTGAAATCATCCTCGGAAGATCCACAATTATCTCAAATACACGCCGCGCCTCCCGGTGTTCGGACACCCGGTGACAACATCTCTAGTGGCGAGACCACGCCCATTAGAGCCTCCGAATTGCATTGCTTTCCAGCCAATGACGAAAAATTGGGGCACGACCTTGTTCAACAAAGCGTGCTTTCCAAGAGGTTTCTGTCGAAGCGGGTACCACCGATCACTCTGAAAGATTACCTTCTACGGCTTCACCAATATTGCCCCATGTCCACAGGCGTTTATCTGGCTACGAGCATGTATATCACCAGGATGGTTAATACTGAGAAAGTGATACAGGTAAATGGAAGGAATATGCACCGTCTAGTTCTTGCTGGGCTTCGAGTTGCAATGAAAACTTTGGAAGACCTAAGTTATCCACACAGCCGGGTTGCTAAGGTTGGCGGAGTGACCGAACGTGAGCTGTCGAAACTCGAAGTCAGTTTCTGTTTCTTGGCAGATTTCGATCTACGGGTTGATGCGCACATGTTATCCGAGCAGGCAAAGCTACTTCAGGCCGGGCTGGATCTTACTGGCGACAATTCCCCCGAAGCAGTTGAGGGCTTCTCATGCCAAGAGTGAGGGCATGTTGACTGCTTTCCTTGCTATGACCTACGCTGTGCTTGTCAGGAAAGAACGACGTACGTTTGCTCAGCATCTCGGAGGATGGTTTTGCATATCATTATTATTCTTTCTCTTTTTTTGTTTCTTTCTTTTTTTTGGAATTGATACCCAGTGATGATGGTTTATGATATTTCTTGACTGGTAACCTCCACCGACTGTTGGGTGCGACCTTCGATCGAAAAGCTCAGTGGGGATGAATAGTCAATTCTATTGGAGGCGATGGCATGGGAAAACAACAAAAACTTTACTTTGATCGCAACCTTGAATGCGGCTGCCTAGCCTGACCACAATTCGATTAACTGGTTGGCTAACTGTTTAGTTAGTCACTTAGTCGATTAAAATAGGTTACCTAGTTAGTAGGTAGTTAGTTAGTGATTTGCTTAGTCAAAAGCCGAGGACGGCAAGCAGAGAATCTTGGATAGCGACATCGTATATATGCTATTTGCAAACAGCGACATGTTATTTGAATTTTTACTGTCTCGTTAGATTAGTGTGGAAGCATTGACTTCGAATTTGCCCAATGTCGAGAACAATCTCGAGAAATTCACCATGTTCAACATAGTGCAGAGAACTCCCAAATGCTATCCAACCACTTAGAACCATAACTATTATTAATGAGTGGCTGAGTAACCACTCCGTACCTCAGCTAACTTAGCCATCGTCCCTATAGATGGCCCCAGGCCCCCAGGCCCCCAGGCAATTGGTCAGCCCAGCCCCCAGCCCAACCGCGCGCGCATCTTCCACCTTGTGACTCCGCCATACAACAAATAGAGGTGTTCTTTCCAGGCCCCGTTCGTCCGGTTGCTTTTTTCTCCATTATTGCTTCTGATATTCTTTCTGCATTATCATCGCCTTCAGAGGCAGCCATTGAGACTTGGAAGGCACGTTCGTGTTGTTGACCTCTTCTTTTCTCAATAAATCACCTGTGACTGGATCTCCGCTATGCGCCATTAGATGTGTCGAGAGTACTTTCCCAGCTAGTCAATCTCCAGAAACAACCTTACCCCCTCCGTTCCGCAAACTGTCCTGCCATTCTCTATCTTTCTCCGCCGTAATTCAAGGGCTGTTGCTTCATCTTGCAACTGCAGAAATCGTGTTGCATTCGAAATGGCGTCAGGGACTTCCTCGACTGGACCGCAGAATAACCGCGACTCTGCGGGACTGGGCCGTCCACCGTCCTTGCCCAGCGGCAAGAGCAGTACCTCCCCTCCAAAAGTGGCCCAGCATGAGGCGACCGTCGAACTTCAGAGTATGAAGACGGAGCGGAGCAATATAAAGGGTGCGATTCGACTCGGCGAGGACATTATGCAGATTGCTCGCATCGGAGAGATCTCAGTCATGCAGAAATTATTTGATGAGAAAAAATTCACAGCTGACTACAAGGATGAGGAAGGAATCACCCCATTACATGTATGTTCTATATTGCTCAAGAATGCGGCACAAATTCCATGTCGTGCAGTTCCTACTGCCTAGTCCTCATTGCGTCATAAATTGCTGACCGACACTGTGTCTTTTCACTTCAGTGGGCTGCTATAAACAATCAATATGCTATGTGCAAATTCCTTCTTGATTCCGGTGCCGATGTTAATGCCAAGGGGGGAGAATCAGTGGCTACTCCGGCTATGTGGGCAGCGCAACGTTGCCACTATTATATCGTACACCTCTTACTACAGCATGGCGCAGATCCTCTTCTTACCGATGTCCAAGGCTACAATATTCTACATCTTGCCACGATTGATGGAAATGCATTCCTGCTTGTGCTTCTTTTACACCAAGAAATCCCGGTGGATGTTCCCGACCAACAAGGCCACACAGGTCTAATGTGGGCGGCGTATAAAGGTTACCCTGCATGTGTGGATATCTACTTGCGTTGGGGTGCCAACGCCAATGCGGTTGATGATGGCGGTCTAACCCCTCTCCATTGGGCCTTGGTCAAGGGATCTCTTCCTTGCGTCCATAAGCTCATAGAGTATGGTGCAGATAGGTTCGCAAAAACCAGAGATGGTAAAACGCCAGCAACCGTAGCGAGTGAGATGAATACGACCCGGATATGGTATCGCGCTCTAGACGAATGTGGTCATGACTTCGACGGAAACACCAAAATCCTGCCTATGGGCCTGACGCCCTGGGTGCGGAGTAAGAACGCCATGTCGAGGTTCTTCTTCCTGTGGCCTTTCTTCATGATATTTGCAGCTATCTGGATTCTCAGCAATGTGGTTGTGTTTTTCGCTATCCCGCTCATGCTGCTTACGGTCTATGGTCTTCAATGGATGGCTCAAAAAGTCGCTAATCAAGGCCCTTCAGAGTATCGAATCCTCCAAAAGACGGTAAGCAAGCACCGATTGTGCCCCAATCCATGTCACGCAATAGCGCTGATTTTGAACTAAGCCTTACCTGTCTGGGGTCTTTGCAGGCTCTCTTTTCTGGGTTGGTTTCAGATATGCCTTCTACTTGCTACCTGGTCAGTAATTCTTATCTTCCATTCCCTCAGGCCGCCTCGTCTATCTCCAAGGCATGATCCGCGCATTGAGAGGGGTAAGGGATTATTCGAACTGACTAGCCCACGCTTAGCGACGTTTTCCTCATCACCGATTTCCAACATCTCCTTCACCGTATTCTTTTCTCTGACGGCATACTTCTATTTCTGTGCGATGACCGAAGATCCAGGTTTTGTTCCGAAGATGAGCAGCAGGAATCAGCAACGAGCCGTAGTCACCGAATTATTCGAGCAGTGGAAATTTGACGAGGAAAATTTCTGCGTCTTGTGTATGATTCGAAAGCCTTTGCGAAGCAAGCATTGTAAGCGTTGTGGGCGTTGCGTCGCAAAGCATGATCAGTGAGGTTCCCGCCAGTCGCTGTCAGAAAAGCGTCCACTAACCCCAATCAGTCATTGCCCATGGATCGACAACTGTGTTGGCGCGAACAATCTGCGGCACTTCGTCTCGTATATCATCTGCTTAGAAATCGGCATCATCTTGTTCTTGCGCCTGACATTCAATTGTAAGTTGTTCTTGGCTCATCTGAAGGGTAGCGCAAAGCGGAGCGTGCTCCTGCTGACGAAACTCAAGATATCAACGTTCTTCCAGCTCCAGCGAATCCACAGTGCAATGTCATAAATGATGCATTGTGTGATCTTGTACTCCGTGACACATTTACTCTAGTTCTCGATATCTGGGTGGTCATTCAGCTGGTCTGGATAACTATGCTCTGTGCCGTTCAGCTTGTCCAAATCTCCCGAAACCAGACGACTTACGAAAACATGAGGGGCCATTCGATTGACCGGAGTTATCCAAGCTCACGAGCATTTGCCTCGGCTGTGACGGCAGGTACGACATCGTTAGATGCAGCTGGCCTCTCTTCGGCCGGTCAAGGTCCCAATCCGGCTCTGGCGCAAAATGTTTCACATAGGCACCAACGGAATGGCTGCCTGCAACAATGGTCCTCTCTTTTGGGAGTTGATACATTCTTTGCAACAGCGCGGGACGGATTACGGGACGGCCCACGTACCGCCCGGCCAAAGAATCCCTTTTCCCGTGGCATTGTCACTAACTGTCAGGATTTCTGGTGCGACCCTGCTCCCTACTTCGGACGACGAGAGCCAGGTTCTGCCATGCTCGGCGGTGAAGTTGTCAATTACAACCGAATGTATGAGATTCCATTGCGAATGCACAGCGGCGGGGGCTACCGTAGCCTGGCCGACAATGACCTAGAGCAAAATGCTTAAATCATCTCTCTTCCTTCACGACTTCAGAGTCGTTGAATCAAGAACCTGAAACTATGACGGTCTCATGCTTGGGAGGTGAGATTGCAGATCAGCGTCGCGCGAATCCGTGCGGAACGGAGATGCATGGATTAACCTCTCATAGATGGCAATCGTTACCTGTTCTTGGCTCATCACTGTCTCAGTATATTATGCTTTGCATACTCGAATTATATTCTAGATGATAGCCACCGATGGCCTCGGCACATGAGGATTGTATGGATATTTGAAGTTGACACCTGCGCTTGAATCTGGTGAAACTGCGATTGATGGATCTCTCATAATCATACCTAGAACAGTGCCATGACGAAGGGTCAGAGCCACAAAAGGGGGGTTCAATTCCAGCGCAGAGACTGTAAAGAAAGCTGCAGAGAGCTCTCGGAGCCGAATAGGGACTGGGCGTATGTATGCCCAGTGTATAAGCACAAGTGGAAAATCGCAAACATTCGTTCATGTAATGTTCATAATTCCTTTGCCTGTACAGTATGATGTACTGGTATTTACATCATCAGTACAAGACGAAGTTACCAAGCATACCGCAGTAATATACCCAGGACCACGTACTATGTAGCAAATGATCCGATGTCGCAGATTTCAAAAACCCACAATCATGCTAAGATCTTATCTCGGCAGGCGCCATCGACTAGTAGTATGAGTAGTGTAGGAGGTACGTAGGTATATACCAAGGTAAGTATAGTTACATAGGTACATACATACAGGCTACACCACCATATCCTTTCATCCCTTGGAACCTTGTCGGCTGTCTCGTTCTTTCTGAATCTCTACTTCTCCTTTCCTCAAATGAGTAGAGTAGGTGAGAAACAAGTCAACCATGACTATTATTGCATGTAATCGCCGATAGAGTGTTTTGATGAGTATGTGGAGAATCTGCATGTGGATAGGTCTTTTCTGTAGTGTAATGTTACAGAGTGGCTGTAGTGCACCCCACAATCACACCTATGCATATCTACTGAGTATGTGGTTTCTATCGGCCTATATGTACTGGCTTGCTGAGATGGGTAGTGGGCACGGAAAGGCTTGGTGTCTTATAGCATGTGGGCTCGACCGCTGCGTCTGTACTAATCTGACTAGCCTGAGATCAATATTTTCCATTGGTTTGAAGGCGGCGGAGGAGAAGGAGAAGAGAGAAGGAAGAAGGGAGGGGCAAAGGGCCACTGATTGATTAGGGCACAAAGACAATTACATTACTCATTATGTATTTATTCCATGCAGTGTGTAAGACAGCCGAACCCTGCGATTTTGACTCAAAATGAAGAGTGGCGGTTTTGGCCGACGAGCGACACCGCTGATCACAGGCTTCTTGATACTATGTATAATGTACGCTACAGTACATATAGTACTGTACATATATACCTTCTAAGGTTATCAATGTGTACCAGGAACACGTGGGAATCTTCAAATAATAGCCTTCGAGCTAAGCTAGCTCTCTTGCTGCGAAGGGCACGCCCATGATTGCCGACATCTTCGTATGGAGACTATGGACCGGTAGTGAAAACGCCCGAGCAAGGATGGAATAATGAAGCGGAAGAATGACGCAGTATGAGTGAATGGAATGATAAAGGGTAACTGATTGGATTGATTCAATATAAAGCTATTCGTAGAAGGATTGTTTTTGAGGGAGGAGGAGAAGGAGAGAAGGGAGGGAAGTTGAAGAGGCCGTATAAGGCCACCGCCTGCCTTCCTGAGGAAGGAACCATGAAGGCCTCCTCCTCCTCTCCTGCCGCCACCAGTAGGTAAGGGACGGAACCGAGAGTTGGGAACACCTCCGACCGACCCCTCACTTGAGGTAACATAGCTAGTAAGAGAGGATCATGCAGCGTTGGCACAACGTGCAATACATACCAAACAACGACTGGGTCCAGACCGAAGCAGAGTCTGCAGATGTGGGTGGATGGATCAGGCCCTAGCGACAGGTTCGAGACATAATGCCCGTTTAGCGCTTACCTGCATGAATGCATGTACATACATGTATGTATTAATCCACCCGAGAAAGAATACTAATATTCATATACTGTACATAGTAGTATGCTCGGTACATTATACGGGAGAGGAGATAGGTTTGCCCAAGTCTATTGTTACCACTACGTACAGTATACTCATTGTCACGGCGAAGGAAACTCCCGGGAAAGAAAGAGGTCCTACAGACCTAGCTCAATGGAGACTACTTACTTGCTGGCCTATGGTCTGATTGATTGAGGCGCTATCCGAGCCGGGCAGTAAAAGCACTTGTTCTTTTTAATCCCTCGTCTTCTGTTAGGGCCTTGGTATTGTGGGCACCGCATGGGCTGGGAGTGGGGCGCCTGGGTTTTCATCAACCGTCAACCCTTCTCTCCCGATCCCCCTCAGAGAGTCACTGGCCTATGACCGATCGATCATAAATGGGCCAGCATTTGGATTCTGTTCAGGTGTGTACTGAGGCGACTACAATTCTATGTGAACTCCTTTCTTTTCCCCCTTCTTTTTTTTCTTTCTCATTGAAAAAAGCTCCAAGCAAAAGCTATCAGAATTCAGAAGCCAACAACGGGCCAGAAAGAGAAGGTGTGGGTCTTGGGGGACATGGTCTCATCTAATCAATCAGCGGAAATCAGTGAGTGGACCGCAATGCTCCCTCGCGTATACGGCTAGGTTGCTACTCCCGGTCCGTAGGTACGGTACGTACGGACACGGATAGTATGGAGGTATTTTGGGCCGGGCCTCTGTGAAGCAACCCCTTCCGTGTCCACGTCCCGCCAGTACAGATATACCAACATCAAAAAAAAGGACAAGCAGTGCTGAACGGTTAAGGAAATGATACTTACCCATCGAGTTTGAGGAGCACCCTTGGGCTGCAAGCTCCAGAACATGTGTGTATCCTTTGCACTGTAAGGTCTCAAAATCTCCCGGGCCGAACTGTGAGCGAATTACGGGTGTTGCAAGATGGCGCCATCTGATAACAGGAGAAAATTTTTATCTGATCAGATTATCGGGAGGATCCCGATATCCCCCCCCCCTCCTCCTTCCAATTAACCTTGGTAGAGGATGCGCCTCGGGTTCCGAATGGCGAGAACAGACGGACCACAGAGTGGTGTTAGATAACATATTTTGGAGTCTTTTCCCTTTCCCAACCCCTTCCAATTGTTGTTGTTGTTGTTGTTGTTTTTTTCGCTCCCCCTTCATGTTACCATTTTCTGCTTGTGCACCGTGACTAATTCATGACCTTGGTGTAGCTCATAAACTTATCCGATGTAGGCCAATCAGCTCCCGTCGCTTGACGTCAGCGGGCCTGTAACTTACAGTATCGTAAGGTACTAAGTACGAAGTTCCCCAATTATCGTCTCCACGCCGGCCTCAGACCCGTTGCTCTTCTTCTTCCCTCCCTTTACCCTCCCACCACCCACCCAAAGGCACATCATTTGAACTTTTCTTGATAACACAGTACATGGGACAGCTAATGACTTCAAATCATTGAAGTAGTGTCGTTCGGCAATTCTGTCCCTCGTTGGCTAACCTAGGGTATCATTGAGTTACATTCTATAGGTACAGCACAATGCCATGGCATTATTTTCTACGTCGCTCCAATTAGAAAGTATTGATTCGAGCAACAATGTATCTCATCTCAATCTCTATGTAATATGCTACGTACCTTGAGTTTCTCTGTATCAAAGTTGTATGTAAATGGTATACTTAACACGAGTAAACGATCATAACTGACAAATATATTGTTTACAGTCAAGGTATTTCCTGAAGCAAGCGTTTCTTTTTTCATCTCACCCGCCCCTCTATTTTTCTCCTCTTCTCTTCTGATCATTCAAGTATTATTCCCAGGCATCAGGAAGTTATGCCGACGAAACAGACCTGCGGATGCCCCCCTGAATCAGATTCCTGTATTACAGCATGGCGCGCAATCTGGTGGCCGGCACCGTCGCACCCGACAGCTGTTCACCAAAGATCGACTCCACCATCTCTCCGCCTCGAGCGGCCAAGACAGACAGAAGACTGTCGCTCAGGCCATGTGTCTTCTCATTGCAGCCCTGAAGCCAAATGCCTGCATGGGCGCTGACTTTGCTGGTGTCCATATCGACCCGATAATCCCGGCCAGGGGTCCACACTTCCTGCCCCGCCGGTCGCAGGTGCTGTACGTTCTTCAAAAGTTGCTCGTGTGCATTGCGGTTGTAACCCGTTGCCACCATGAGGGCATCCACCTCCAATGTCTCCTTGCCATCACCAACCAAGCTGTCCGCTCCATCCTTAGCGGCGCGAACGTGAATGCGCATCCGACTTTGGGGACCATGATGTTCAACTCGGGTGACTTTACGGCCAGGTAGAATGCGGTGTTGCCACTGTGACTCGTCAGGGTTCTGGATTCGCTGGGTATACATGTCGTCGAAAATCTGCTCGATGAGCTCAAGCCGGACGACACTGTAGTTAGTGGCCTTGTCGGCCTTGAGGGAACGCTGACGTTCATTCGCAGAAAGGTTGTAGAATTTATCGATTCTCTCGGGATTGAAGAGTTCATTGACGCTAAACATCTGAGTCAGTTCACAGGGCCATAAGGTTGAGGGAGGAGGTGATATGAGGTGATTGCGCTTACAATGGGGAGTCATCGCTGGGTCGCATGGCGGTATCCCGCATTATCAGGGTAGTCTTAGAGTTAGGATAACGCTTCTGAATATCGTGGAAGATTTCCGCAGCACTTTGGCCGCTTCCGAGAACGGCAACGTTGTAAGGTTTGCGCTCGTCGCTGAGTAGAGCGGGTAGATTGGTGCAGTACTGGGACGAATGCAGGATCCGGGGGTCTTGAGGAAGGCCTGGGGGCATCTTTGGACTGCCACCAAGCGCAACTACGACCTTCCGTGCCGTTCTGGAGGAAATCTCTCCGGTCTCGACATTGCGGGAACGAACAGTGAAATAGTCAACCACCGAGCCTGTCGGGTCGGTTTTGCCCGGAACCACATCAATCACCTCTTCTCCGTAGGAGACCACCTCGGAGAACCGTTGCGCACACCAGCGCATATAATCTTCGAACTCCAGGCGCGCTGGAGTGAACGTGCCCAGATTTGTGAAGTGAATCAACCGCTCCTTCTGGTGAAGGTAGTTGAGGAAGGTGAAACTGCTGCGGGGATCACGGAGGGTGGCCAGGTCCTTGATGAAAGAGATTTGCATTTTCGATCCGGGCAGCAACATGCCCGGATGCCAGGCGAACTGCTTCTGACGCTCCAGAAAGCAGACTCTAGGTTGCCAGCCGGAGCTGGAGGTGGACTTGTTCAAACAAGGATCCAGGGCATCGTTCAAGGCAATTGCGATTGCGAGCGATGCAGGACCGAACCCCACACAAAGCAAATCGTGTAGCTCGTCTTGGGGGCTTGCTCGGAGACGGGATGGCTCCCGCTGTTGCTTGACAGCCATGTCGCGGTGGCTCTGAAAGCTCACTTCAGGCTTCCGGACGATAGACTCC